CACCCTATCGGTTATGAATTAGATGGACCATAAATAATCCTAGAATCTCTATTCGATTAATTCTGGTTTTAATATGTTGTGCAATGTTATTCCCATAGAAAAATTATGAATATGAATTAAGCAATAAACCCTAACTTTCTATTTGAAACATCATCAAGGTAATTAAATAAATCCAACATTCATAAAGCATTAAACTAAACTCTTGCACAAATTCATAAACATAAATTTGGTATAAGAATAAAATTTGTTCAAAACATAATTAGGGTTCCATCCTCCCCTAACAAAAGGGATTTACCATCCTAAGAACAAAGGAATAAGTAGAGAAGAAGGAAAACATAATCAGACTTGAAATAAATAAAAATCAAACTCTTAAATCTGATCTTCAGTCTTCAAGCCCAAGAATGCATCTCTCCTCTCAAAAATATGCAAAATTCGTCCCTTAACAATTGATCTCAATTATACTTAAATACCCAAAAGAGTCCTAAGTGAAAAAGGAAAGAAAAACTGATAAAAACGCGCTATAAGGTTCCGCCACAACCCTGGCCGTGGCCAAATTAAGGTACCACAACCTAGGCCGTGGTGCTCCTGGTCTCTTTGTTTCTTTTGTTCCATCACCATGGCCATGGTGAACTACCAAGGCGATGGTCGTGGCCTTCAAGACTGAAGGGCAATCTCAACTTCTCAAGCTTTAAGTCCCAATTCATTCCGTACTGCAATCTACTCAATCAAAGCCTAAAAAAAAAACCTAAAAGTTATCCAAATCAAGAAGTAACCATTCATATCGCAAACTTAACAAAAACAAACATAAAAAACAAAGGAAACAAATGAGAAGTTAACTAAACTAACATCAAAACAACCCTAAAAACACTCAAATTATGCAACTATCAAATAGCTAGCACTAACTAAGGGTAATAAGGATTTATTAAATATTATTATTGAATTGGATTCAATGATGGGGGCAAAGTGCATTGGTTTTATTCTAAAGGGTTAGAATTTTAATGGAATTAAAATTTGGTCTAATTATGAATTAACCATAAAACCAAGGACTTGACATAAAGTTTATTCTCAAGTTAATTTAAATTGTTTGAGGCCTTCCAAAACAATTTAAAATTACACTTTGTTCCCATGGTATATAAATTAAGTTTTATACCATTTTAATGAATGAATCAGTTAAAGCAAAATCACTCTCTCATTTTCTCTCTCACTCTCTCGGCTCTCTCTTCCTTGACTTGTGTGATCACATTTTGAGGTTCTTCAAGTTCACTTGAAGAACTAAGATTCCAAGAAAGAAGATTCAAGTGTTGAATAGCAAAGGAGTAGGTAATATTCCATCCTTACCTTGAAATTTTTTGGGCATTGTGTTATGCTTGTGTTCTACCCTGCATCCATCATCTGTTCATTCATGTTACACACTTTCTATGTCCAAAATGCATGAATCCAACAGTAGCTTACCTCACTGATCTCCGACCCACAGAGAAATGGAACAGAAACCTTTTGGTGTAGGTTCTCGTTGGGGGGGGGGGGGGGGGGAGATGCTTCCTTCGAGCTTTTTGGCTGATTGTTATTCTTCCCTTTATCCATCAACAGACTTGGAGATGTCCCTATCTCAGTAGCGCGACGATTCCAACCGTGGGGCGATGCAGTTCGCAGTGTTATGACCATGGTCGCTGTGGGAATTGACCCACTTGGTCGTGTCCCTCGTTGCTTCAAAGATGAGCTGTTCGGCCACTTAACGGTAGGTCCTATGCCTTTATAATTGCCATGACCTGGGCTGGTTTGACATTGAGGTTGTACTCGGAATTTTGTATTGCTCGACCCAGATAGTCTATGTCAGTTTAATTGCAGGTGGTCATAGGTCTCTTTATTTGTTCAGGTTACATGGGGGGGTTGATAAGTGCCTCAAATGATCTGGACTCTAACTTCTATCGTTTCGCCTTTGGGGACGGTCGTCGTAATTGGCATGCCTCATCCAGCTTATTTCATCTTCCTCTCACCTTATTTGAATTACAGCTCTAGCTAAGGCGTCTCATCGTGGTGCAACCAAGCTTCGCCAGTCTTTGTATAGTTCTCCGTTTGGAAGGAGACCCTTTCTGAAGGCGTCTACTGTTCTCTGGGTTACAGGAAGGGATGGAGATTTTTTCTTGTTAAACCTGCTGATGTATTCTCTCAGCGGTTCCCCCTCTCCTGATAGACTCTGTACAAATCGGTTGTAGTTTCTTGAGTTCTTACTGCTGGCGAATTGTTCAACGAATGTGTCGGTGAGCTAGGCAAAGGAGTTGATTGAACCGTTTGGGACTTGGTATACCACTGAAGGGCTGGGCTGGAGAGGCTTGAACCGAAGCTTTTGCACATGCAGGTTTCCCTTAGTGCTTGGGTTATCGATACAGCGAACATCGCTACTTGTAGGAGGTATGTGGTCGTCTGGGTCGGTTGTCCGTCATAGGGCTCATGTTGGGAATGATAAACTTGTGTGGTATCTCAGTAAGCGCGATTGCGTCTACAAAAGGTGATAGACATAACAGTGAGGTTGGCTCTTTTTTGTTGGGATTGACATTTCAGGTATGTGCCTCATCACCGCCTCTATGTCAGCTAGTCTCTTGGCCAATATATGTCCATAGGAGATAAGGATACCACTAGGTCATCTTGGTTAACTTGGTTGGCCATGCGATTCGCACTGATGCGTTTCGGTGGGTAAATCTGCGTGGTGTAGTTTGACAGATCACTCTGTTATTCCCCGCTAGGTAGCTTTGATCCCTATCATTTCTCTGGTTGGATGACTCTCTCTGACTGATTAGGTGTTTCGCCCACATGATTGTAAGAGGTGTTTTTTGGGATTCGTTCGGCCTATTGGGATGAATGGCCTTGAGCGGGGTAGTTTGAAGGAGTGGGGGACCGCTCGACCTGCGAGGATGAGCCGAGCCAATTGGTGTTTGGGTAGGGATGACGGACTAAAGGGGGATGGGATGGATGGCAAGGATGGATGGTTCTTGTTGTGGTGGGCTCTTGTCGCTTGGACTCCTGATCTGTGCCTGAACGGATTGATCGAGAGTGGCTCTATCGATGGCCCTCATTCCCTACCAGTCAGGGCTTAAATTGTCAACTAACAATGAACATAGCTGGGCGACCTCGTATCGAGATTGTGGGTATGTGCCGGAGTCTGTAGAGAGGGTGCATAGATGGAACCGAGGCGCAAAACCGATTGGGTGGTACTTGACAAGGCAGAAGCTCAAGATCATAAAACTGACTTACCTTCTCTTTTAGAGATTGGTTCTTGGCCCGATGGAGGCGTTTTTGGTTCGGATGGCAGTGTTCTCAACTCCAATGCTGCCACCTTGTTGAGTTATTACATGAGGGCAGTCAAAGCCTCCAGTTTGGCCTCAAGGCTAGGATTAGTGTTATCAGAATTGTCAGCCATGGAGAGTTTCTTCACATAGCAGGTTTTGTTGAGACGAATGATTGCCAAAGGCCCACGGTGGGCGCCAAACTGTAGATGCAAAAATCTACCGTTACGAAAGAGGGACTGATCCCGTGAGGTTGAGGCCACTAGCGATCATTGCACACTGCACACATGAGAAACAAGTGTGAAGCAGATGGAAAACATTCGGGTGGTGTTTGTATAGGCACTCTGACGCTCAAGTCAGTAAGCTGAATGAGGCTAGTTTAGTGAGGGTTAGGCAAAGGGAGAGTTACTGGAAGTCTAGTCGGGGACTGCGACTACGGTTGTAATGCGAAGTTCTCAAGTGGGAACTCGAGGGTCTGAAGGTGTAATGTTTTCTATCCTTTGTGAGAGGGTGACCTCTATTTAAATAGTGATTGTATGACCTTCCAATTCTAGTAGGACTAGGAGTCCTCGTAGTGGTAGTTCTCCCAAAGGGTGTAACCTTTGGCTCCCTTATCTCGACAGGAAAGGGAGTTCGAGTGTGACTGGATACACGACCTTGAGGAATTAGGATAGTAGTTGACTTCCTTATCAGAGTTCTAGTAGGAGTGTAAGCCGTAGGGACTGTGGGTCCGAATTGACATAAGCCTAGAAGGTGTTCTAGGATCAGGAGGCCTGGGTCCAGATGGTAAAATCGACTACCTTCATACCGAATGGGCCTCATTTGTGGAATTCTGATGGGCCCCATTCGGATTGGGCCTAGGCTTCATCTCTATTAGAGGTGTTTCTCTATTTGGGCGAGGACATTTTTTGGCCCTAACACACACACACCACACACGATATATATTATATATAATATTATATATATATATATAATTATATATCTATATATATATATATATATTGTAAGAGGAATTTACTTGTTTTTTTTTCTTTTTTTACCTGAATTTTCTCCACACTGGTACAATTATTTCTTGCATTATTTGGGACGTTTCACATGTACGTATTTATTAATTAATTCATGTTGATCATCTAGAACCGAGTGAATCGTAAAAATTAATTGCTTAATTTTGACTTTGTGTGGAGCTAGAATACTAATGTTTTTGAAGACTTTATAATGGATGCAATAATTGATGTTATAGAAGAATAAATAACTGGAGAAATGAGGTGGAATTGCAAATCAAATATCCTTAAATAAAAATGGACCCAATGCTTATCTTTACAATACTTATGCAAATAAAAGTATAAAACAATGCTTATGCAAATAAAAGTATAAAACAATGCTTGATACAGTGGAAATAGGCCCTCATCTTCCAATATAAATGAGGATACCATTACCAATTGTAATACGTTCAATGGAATTAGGAAAGACAACCAACCATCTTCACAAATCAAATCAAAGTTCGCATGAAAAGACATTACAACAGCAAAGTACCAAATACTTTGTTTGAACTGGTAAAATAAAATAAAACCTTTATTTAATGTATCCTACTTAAGACTTTCCTTAATTACAAATATTCATTACATAATAAAAAAATGATTTTTACAGTTTCAACTATTTTTCTGGAGCTGAATTCTCTATTTAAATGAGAACGCTACGCATAAGTGAGAAAAGATAGCGATGGAGGCTGTACAACACTTTGTTTTAGTTCACGGAGCTTGCCATGGAGCCTGGTGCTGGTACAAGGTTGTGAGTCTTCTCAAATTACGTGGTCATCGTGTGAGTGCTATAGATTTGGGCGCTTCAGGGATCAATCCCAAGCGGCTAGATGAGATTGTTTCTATTTCAGATTACGTGCAGCCTTTGATGGAGTTCATTGACTCTCTTAATCAAGAAGAGAAGGTGATTTTGGTTGGTCACAGCTATGGTGGTATCTCTATATCTCTTGCAATGGAGAAATTCCCTGAGAAAATTTTAGTTGCAGTGTTTGTGTCTGCTTATATGCCTCCATACAAATCTCCTCCGGGAACTCTAATACTAGAAGTAAATAATTTTTTTTTCTATATATTTACTTTTAATTGCCATTCAACAAGTTGTAATTAATTTTGAGACTAAGCTGATTTCTTTTGGTGTTTGGCTTTATATAATCAGTATTTTAACAGTACACCAGTGGAATCCTTATTGGATTGCCAGTTAACATTCAACCAAGGCCTGGAAAATCCTCCAACTTCAGCTATCTTTGGTCCTGAATACATGAAGACTACAGCGTATAAACACTGCCAGTTAGAGGCAAGTCTCATTTCATTTCTCTTAGTTACTTAATAGGTGATTTGCAGCAATTAATTGATCATACATTTGCGGTATGCAGGATTTAGAATTGGGAAAAACATTGGTTAGACCAACTGGGTTGTTCTTGGAAGATTTGTCCAAGGAGTCTTTGTTAACAAAAGAGAAATATGGGTCAGTTGATCGGGTTTTTATCATGTGTGAAGAAGATGAAGTGATGAAGGAGGACCTTCAACGGATGATGATCCAGAACTACCAACCTAAAGAAGTGAAGAAGATCAGTGAAGCTGGCCACATGGTCATGCTTTCTAGGCCTAGAGAGTTTTCTCAAACTATACTAGATATTGCTGTCAATTATAAATGATCATTGAAGAGTTACACATCTTTGGTACTTTGAAATATTATGGAAATAAAATAAGCAAGTGTTTTGCCACATGAATTATTCCTTTCTTAGATATTATCTTCAAAACATAAGTTTATTACTAGTTTAAAAATTATCTAGTTATGATTCAAATAACTGTGGACTACCTTTCAAATTTATTAATTACATCAAATTAATATAGAAAATTAATTTTTAATCAATTGATGCAGTTTCTTGCACCAACTAAAAGTACGTAAATTTCTTGTTGAAACCTATACAAGGGTTAGTAATAAACCGACAATTTGATGAAGAATTAAGAAGAACTTGACAGAAAAAAAAATACAAAGGATAAAAAGCTTTTAAAGTGGTTCGGATGTCAGTAACAAATCCTACATGCACTATTAATTATGATTCTTATTGTCTTTGCAGTTTGTAGTACGTAAATATAGACTTTTCTATTATATTGTGGGAAATCAGAAATGAACAGCCGAAGGCTAAAGTATACTCCCCTGCGTGATGACACGCGACACCACCTGGCTTGGGGTAAAACTTATGAGTAATACTATAGTTACCAAAGTAGTACACCGAATTCATGCACCGAATGACGTAGCAACATCCGGACCGTTGATTAATTTAACTTAATATTAATCGACGGTCAGGATTTTACCACGTCATTCGGTGCATAAATTCAGTGTATAACCTTCGGTGGCTGTATCATTTCCGAAAACTTATTAAGTAAACTCAAGTGGAGTTGAACGTGTCATAGGCGAAACTTATCCTTGAGAGATTTGCATATGAAGCGGAATGACACATGACGTTAATCCATGTAATGCTAAAGTGACATAACGTGAATACATGCTGCATGCTTTTACCGCACAACAAAAACCATCAATTATATTAATAGTTGATAAATAAAAAAGTTACAAAATACATAGAACTAATTAAATCAATCCAGCTTAGTATTTTCTTAGATAGTTACGCAAAACTCAAATTGCGGTTATCAGAGAGAGGCTTGGGAAGGAAGCAGCATTAAAGGGTCTTGGTTTTCATAATTACTGCACCACGCATTTGTCGCATTGAACTTGTTTAAAGAATCTAGCTACAGAGTAAAGTCCACATCTTTAATTTGTCTTAATTAAAACGAAAAACTTCTATAATGAACGTAAAACACTTATTTATTTGATTTATGTTGAAGAGATGGAGTCTCGGTGAACAAGCGGAAATTTGGGGAAAAAACTTTTCCTTTTTTTATTGATACTTCTCACGTCATTATTGTACAATGCTTTATATTACATTAAAATAAATTAACTCAACTAACTAGTTAACTAACTCAAGTTGTAACTAACTCAAGTTGTAACTAATTCAAGTTAATTAACTGACTTAAGTAACTAACTAACTAACTAACTAAACTGATACAGTAGCTAAGCTAACAGTAGCTTAAAACAATTGACTTATAACAACTATTTAACACCCCCCCTCAAGTTGGAGGGTGTTAGAGATCAAGAACTCCCAACTTGTGTAATAGCTTGGAATGAATTTGACTTCCGAGTGCTTTAGTCAACAAGTCAGCTGGTTGCTTTGCAGTAGGAATATAGGCAGTCTGTATGTGACCAAGTTTGAGCTGATCTCTGACCATATGGCAGTCAAGATCAATGTGTTTTGTTCTCTCATGAAACATGGGATTAGAAGCTATATGGTTTGCAACTTGATTATCACAATGTAGGGGAATAGGCAATAGTTGAGACTTTGAAACACCAAGTTCTATAAAGAGTTGTACCAACCAAAGAAGCTCGCACACAGTAGCAGACATTGCTCTGTATTTTGCCTCAAATGAGGATTTGGAAATGGTTGCTTGCCTCTTTGATTTCTAGGATATTAGAGATTTACCAAGGAAAACTGTAATATCCCACTTGAGGTACTTGTTTAAGATTTGCTGTATTAGTTAAAAGTTTATTGTTTCAACTTTAATTGAGTTTGTATGTTGAGTTGGTTGAATTGTTGCCTTGAAATTGGTTGAGTTTTGGTGAAGTTGGAAATCCAATCTTCGCCGGGGCGAAGGAGAAGCTTCGCCGCGGCGAGGGAGGAGAGTGCACCCACGGGTAGGTTCTGCCCTATTTCGCCGAGGCGACGAAAAATGCTTCGCCGCGGCGACGAGCCTAAGACAAAGTTTCTTGAGTTTTCTAGAGAATTCTTCTTTTGGGGCACAATGACCATTCTACCCCTAATTAGTAGGAAAAGTGGGGAGTAAAATGAAAGGAAATTTAGTAGAGATTGTGTTTGGATGGGGGGGAGTGTGTAAAGAATCTATAGATGGAATTTCTAAGGAAGAGCAAGGGCAAAATGGGAAAGGATGCTAAAAAGGGTTAGTGTAGAGAAACCCTTTATTCTTCATTCCACGCCTCTTCCATTTGCCCACTTTCTCTCAATTTCTCCATCCAATTTCCAAGATTTCTAAGGGATTTAGAGGGGTTTGAGTAGAGATTTCATCTAAAGCTTTCTAAGGTAAGAACTCATGCTTTAGATGTGAGTTTTTATATTATGTGAAGTCTTATTGGGTTGTTGTGTCCTGTGGTTGTTTTGAGTTGTAGAGAAGAGCAAGACCACAAAGGGAAGGAAAGGTGCAAAGAAGTCATTTTGCACAAGGTAAGTAAATCCAAGCAACTTGAGTTTTAAACAAGCTTTTTGTGTAGAGATGTATGCATGATCAGTATGTAGTATGATGTGAGAAAAATGAGTTGAGATGAGTAGCTATTTTGTAGTTGTTGGATAGATCCATGTATGAGAAGTGTTTTAATGTGTATTGAGAATGGAATTTGAGATGAGTTTGAGAGATGTGTGTGAAGCTTTTGAGAGTGCTTTCTGACCGGGTTATGAGTATTTGAGGGAGTTTTTCCCCATTTTGGATGGCTAGAGAATGAAATATAGTAGTAATTTTAGTAGAGTGTTTATATGCACATGAGTTGTTTGATGAAATGCTAAGTGAAATCTGCCCTGTCACTGCCGTAACTCTAAGTAATTTTTGGGTATCTTACGGTTTGAACTGAGCTGAGACCAAAACATAGAATGTAGCCCTGTTCTAAGCTTTAAAACGAGGCCAGAACCGTAGCAATCGCGGTGTATAACGCAAGTTATGGCCTTTTATGTGGACTGGTGCAGAATGGCTGTTTGAGGAAATCTTGTATTTGGCATTTCTTAGTGCATTAGTGAGCATGAGCTAGCTACACAATTGTTTATGCACTTAAGTAGTAAGAAAAGCTTGAGATATATGGAGAATGTGAAGCTATAAGCTACTTTAAGAGTTAAGAGAAAGAGAATAGAGTAGGTTGTGCGATGGGGAACCCGTGAGTAATGGGTAGAGTATTCCCGCATGTACGCCGCATTGAGAGAGCGGCATGAGTATCAGATAGAGAAGTGGTGTAGCCCGTGAGAGTGCATGCGGATGAGGGCTATACCCGAGTACCCGAGAGAGAGATTATATACTCACATGGCCAAGGGTTCCGAATCCATGCATAACCGAGTCCGATCGGCTAGAATGAGTAGAGGTCATGTAGAGTGGGAGCGAGTCCCAGCCGTGCCCCCGGTAAGATGGGGTCGTGACTTACTAAAGAGGTAATAGAAAAGAGTTCTAAGAGAAAGAGAAAGAGAAAAAGAGAGAAGTACCCAAAGAGAAATTGAATGAGAAGTTGTAAGGAAAGAATTAGAGAGAGAGAGTTACAGGGCTAGCATGAGTAGAGGATTTACTTACTGAGCATTATTTTAGTGCTCACCCCGTTGTTTTCCTATGTTTTACAGGACCTAGGTGAGGACACTATCGGATGGATGTCGGCGTTCGAGAAGGAGTGGTTATACTGTCCCTTATGTTTTTGATGACTTTTGTATATGTTTTACATTTTGTGTAAAAATGTATATGTTTGTAAAGAATATGTATATATGTTTAATAAAAGAAAATTTTGGGCCCAATTTCTTTATATTATTTTATATGTATTTTATTATGAGAATTTGAGTAGTAGTGGCTATTACAAAAACACAGTAGCTTATCACAGATTTTCTTGTCATAAGACAAGATGCTCAGTCTGAGTCACAATAGGCTGACAAAGTCATATTGTTTTCTGCTAGAAAAAAAAGGCCCAATCCTGGTGACGTCTTGACATACTTAACTATCTTGAGAGCTGCCTTCAGATGTGATTCCTTAGGTTCGTGCATGAATTGACTTAATAAATTGACTGAAAAAACTCAAGTATGGCCGAGTCATACACAAATACAGCAGCTTGCCTACTAACCTTTGATAAGCACTTGGGTCAGGAAGCAATGGATCATTGGCTGAAGGAAACATTTCATCATATGCAACAAATGTCAATTTCAAAGTGGAATCCATTGGAATTGTGGAAGGTTTGGAACAAGATAACCCAGATTCTGAAATTAATTCCAAGGCATACTTCATTTGACACAAAATGATCCCTTTAGATGATCTAACTACTTCAAAATTTAAGAAGTATCTTAGTAATCCCAAGTCCTTAAGCTTGAAATTAGAATGTAAGAGTTGTTTGGTTTGCTGAATCATTTTAGTATTACTTCCTGTAATCACTACATCATCCAGATACACCAAAAGCATAACAACGTGTGAACCAAGCCTTTTGATAAAAAGAGAGTAATCTAATTTAGATTGACAGAAACCACCAGTGATTAAGGCTTGTGTAAGTTTATAGTTCTAGGCCTTAGAAACCTGTTTTAATCCATAAAGGGATTTGTGAAGCCTACAAACCATATCCTCCCCCCCCCCACCCCCACCCCCCCCCCCCCCCCCCCCCACCCTCCACCCCCCCACCCCCCCCCAACCTGCTTAACAAAACCCTAAGGCAAGGTCATGTATATCTCTTCTTGCAAATCACCCTACAGAAAAGCATTATCCACATCCAATTGATAAAGAGGCCAACCATACATGGCAGCCAAAGACAAAATGGTTCAGACAGTAACCATTTTCACTACAGGAGAAAATGGTTTTG